TTCATTGCTCAAAAAGGGAGCTTCGCTTCTGCACGTGTGCTGCCCTGCCTGCTGGAGCGCTGCTCCATCCTCCGCCCAGCAGACAACGTCCTTTAAAGGATGGCTTCAAACCTTCCCTACCTCTAAGACATAAGAGATGGTTTGGACACTCTGTAACGTGAAGTACTGTGAAAAGCTGAAGGTCCAAACACGCTCCTTCGAACCTAGTGCTCTTATCAGGAAAGCAACCTGGTCCCTGGTACACCGATCTGAATGCAAATGCTGCTCAAGTTTTTAAGTACCAACACACAGCTCTACCATCCTCCAGCCATCCTGAAAACCCTAAGCTATCACGAGGAGAAAGTGCTAATACAGAGGACAGTGGAATATTCTGCTTTCCATCAGGAGACAAAATGCCACACAACAAAAAGCTGTTGTCTACAGCTGAATCTTCAGCACTCACCACCGCAGACTAATCCAGACTGTGCATTTTAGGCAATGCTCTCAGACAAAGAAATTCAGCAAAGAGCCCATGAAAAGCAAACGCTGCCGGAGCCCTCGCCGGGGTGCAGAGCACTGCCCCAGCACAGCGGGCACCGGCCGCTCGCTGAAGCCTTCTCCGACAGCTCAGCCCAGGCAGCAGCTCCCTCCCCGCACCTGCCCACGCCACCCCTGCACCTGGGTCTGAACAGATCGTACACACAGCCGAACTGGTTTCATCAACCTTTCAATACGTGGCTGCGCTGGGTTTTTTTTCCCCTGTATTAATAGTTGTGTAGTGTTGGACTGTGCCCGTTGAAGCTGCCTTCAGCTAAGAAAGAGTAAGTCCAGTAAGAAAGAGTAAAGTCCTGTAATGTCCAGGCATAAAACTGTTTGTTTGTTTTTTTCTTTTTTCCAATAAAGATTCCTCTTACTCAAAAACAAAAGCAAAAATCCTTAGATTCAGAGTTTGCTTCGGAACTAGCTAACGGCAACAGCAAGGAACAGATCTGCTACACTTTTTGTTTCCTTCTGAAGCATTTCAGAACGGCATCTCATACAAAAAAATCCCAGCCCCTACGGAGACTCCAGAAGAAGGAGCCGGAGCTCCACACCGTTGCCACAGCAACAGTCTGCCCGAAGACGACGGAGCAGCCCGGAGCTGCGTGGAGGTGCTCCGGGGCTGCCACCTGTACCTTCGCAAAGTGCTCGATGAGGATCTCAACCACGATGTTCTGGAACTTGATGTTCATCATCGCTGCCACGGTGTCCTCCTGTGCTCGCATGAGGGTAGGTCCAAATATCACCCCCATGTTGGACGGCGACATCAGGTTCTCTCGGCTGTGCTCACATACGCTGAGAGGGAAGAGCATTTGGTTTGTTTTTTCCAAACAGATCTTATTCTAAGCAATAAAAAAAGGACGCAGTAAGAATCAGTCATTCGATTTAATTTTGTTTCAGTAGAATTTGTTTCCCAGCGCTACCGGAGATAAAATGTGTCTCTAGCTATGACACGCACGTTTGGCTAGGACAACTCTTTGGGGGAGCAACATGCTGACAGCATTTTCACTTGATCCCTTCTCACTCCTAGCTCATCCTTTAACTCTTCAGTCAAAGGTCACCTGCACAACACAGGCAGAAAAGGAATCATTTAAATGGGAATAGCCAGTTTATCCAGAACCGACTTTTGGCTTTGATTTTTCCTCTCTCTGAGGAGGAGGACTGAATGTAGGAAGCACACTTTGGAGGTTTTCAATAAATCTCTGCACAGCTTCTTCTTTCTGAGAGAATCCCCGTTTCCACAGAACAGAGCTCTCTCTGCCCAGCAGCCTTCAAGCTTTAGAGGACTGTGCAAGCCTGCGAGCAGCACCGGTGGCCGACCGAAGCACTAACCCCCTGGGTGGGCACTCCCTGCTCCCAGCAGCGGACCAGGGGAGAGAGACTCTGATGCTGACATGCAACGAATTCTGGGTTTGTCCTGTAGCTCTGGTGTGAAAGAGGTTTCTGTCAGCACGAAGCGGAAAGGGAACAGAATTTCAGTGTAAGCACTTTAAGGAATAAACAGTGATGACAAGTACAGCGTTAGCTTCATCGGACTGCATGCCAGACACTCTCAGCTCTGCCACTTACGCAGAAAGGTTTCTAAAAACCACTGGAAGACGTGCACGAAAGGCTGGAACCGGACGGCTGGCAGGGTCCCCCAGCCAGGCCTGCTCGCCCCAGAGAGCGGGCATGGCACCGAGGGCCAAGCCCCCTCCTTCGAGTGCCAGGGCAGGACAATCCCAGCCCTGCTTGTTTCTGAAACAGTCTGGTTTGGAAACAACATCTCCAAAGGTCCAGAGCAAGCCCCGTCACACAAAAGCCACTGCTTCTGCGAGCCCTGCTCCTTCCTGCCCCGCACGCAGATTGCTCCCGTGCCTCTGAGCTTCAGCACGGCTCACCACAAGCTTCTCCCTGCCGCTCCCTGGGGCGGAGAGGGCAGAGCCGCCACGCTGAGCCCTCGCATTCGGTGTGGCAAGGAGGCAGGACAATACCCATTCCCCACTGCAGTGCTGGTGGCCTTATCATCAATAACAGACTTCTCAGCAGCTCAGTGGAGGAAGCACGAGGAAGCAGCGCTGCCCAATGCCACCAAGCACCCAGCACGCCTGCACGAGAGCAGAGCCTGGCACGCTCCAGCCTTCGTGCTGCTCTAAGGGCTCAGGACACCGAGTCCACAGAGCCAGAGACCAAACCAAAGCATGCTTCACAGTCAGCCCACAGGCACAGGCTCTACAGCCATTCCCAGAGCCCAGACCGAACGTGCTTGTTAACTGGAATGAGAGGTGACGATTTCTAGCTCTGCTGTCAGAGGGTATTTTCTTTTTAAAATTATTTCCTGCTTGATGCTTGTCAGAAAGGGGATGAAAGTGGCAATTAGAAAGAGAAGAGCCACTTAATGCAGTGGGTAGCCAGGATGATCACACCCTTTCTGCAGTTCAAATGTATATTCCTGGGGGGACTGTGGTGGATACAATTTTGCAAACTTGTCACAAAAAAAAGGCTTGTTCTGTTGATTCCTTTCTTCCCCTTACTTTGGCTTTAAAGAAAAATGTCTGCTTACTTGACGAGGTGTTGTATGAGGAGCTCTAACATCTCTCGGTTCTTGTCAGGTAGTTTATAGACCAGTGCGTGAATGGCTCCCAGCCTGTAGTCCAGGTTCTCAGATTCTGGGAAGAAGTAACACAAAGAAAAGTTTGTGCCCTCCACTTTCACAGTAAATACACAAGAGAAAGATAAAGCCAAAGAAAACCTGTGGGAGCTGCTCCTCCTGCAGCGCAGGGCTGGCTGGCCAAACCCGGCGATGGGAAGCAGAAGGAAAGTGAGATTACATAGCAACAGGGTAATCATTGTGAGGAACAAAATGCAGTGGAAAGAGGGAGAAATGAAGCTTGAAAGGGAGCTCAGGGTCGCCCTCTGAGCACGGCCGGGTACTCCCCTTTGCACCCTCGCCCACACACCTCTGCTGGGTATCTTATCAGCCCAGATAGCTGAAACACTGAACAACACGGTAAAACGTCCTGCAGGGAAAAAAACTGAGTCCCTGACCCAAAGAGGTCAGCCTTAGGAGCATAAATAATCCAGAAACAATAAAATACTCGGTGTGAAAAGAATAGTGTGGGATCTTGGTAGCTGGGAAGCTTTAATGGTGCAAGTTTCTGAGGGAGGGCAGGGAAGGGATTATAGTCTTGCACATACCCAGTCATCATTGGTTTAACCAGTTCTGAAACTAATAAATCTTGGGCTGGAGCACAATCAGCAGGTGGTGGAACATTTTCCTTTCCAAGAAAGAACAAGCGTTATTAATTCTCCAGAGGTCCAAACTGAGGAGCAGCAGGTGCTCTCCGACCCTCCCGCTGACTTCAAGGAGGCACGAGGGTGTGAAGGATGCTTTAATCCAAAGCGTTTTGGAGTGTGCCGCGATCCTCCAAACGCAGTAGTGCTGTGCCGAGGGAGACGACAGCCCCCCGCACGCCCCTAGTCTCCTCCTCGGCACGCTGGCTCGCAACACGCTCTGAGGGTGCAGCCTGTTCAGAACTATTACGGCTTATGTGAAAGCAATGACTAACAACCGGGCCGTGGGGGACTGGCCGGCTTGGTGCAGTCGATGCCCTGTCAGCACGCCCCTGTCACTCGGCTGATCGCCGTTAATGCTGGCTGCGGGTCAGTCCCACGGGCTGCAGCAGAAAAATGTCTCACGAGTGCTGGCAGACACTTTGGATTCAACATCCCAGGACAAATTTCACGGCCCAAAGGGAGCACCTATCTGTCTGTGTGGCAACAGCACACCCCATTCCCTCAGGTTTCAAACTAAATGTACTAACACTATCAAGAAACAAGTCTTGTGGGAGGACACTGGTGCTGATTTCAGGCTAGCTGACATCCCCTGGCTCTCCAGACCCTCCAGGAGCATGACACCCTGTTAGAGGAAAGAGCACTGCGATAGCAAAGGACAGAGGGGAAGAGATACCACCACCCCCCTTGCACAATTAAGCACTCCGAAGAGAGGGTCGCTCCTCCTTCTACAGGGGGAAGCGGCCGGGCACCCCGGTGTCGGGCTGGCAGAGCTCTGTCAAGCGATTTTGGTGTAGGCTGGCTGGGGAGGGCAGGGCGAGGGAACGTCGGCAGGGCAGCGGCAGCACTTACTGGCAGCCAGAACCAGCTCTTTGTGGAGCTTGTACGTCATGACGGGGTCGGGCAGGGTCCTGCAACAACCAGAAAGGAAAG